TGTGCGACACTTTTTACCAGAAAAAAACTCTTCAGCTATACCATCCTTTCAGTGCCTAAATGCCGTGCTACCCAAAGGAAGCACGAGGGCTGAGATACTGCCAGGTTACTCAGGTCTAGACAAGGAAGTCTAAAGGCAGAGATCGGGTCCGAACCATGAACCTTACGATCAGTAGATTTGCTCTCTAAGCACCGAGCTATCTGGCCTCAGAAGTGACCATGGTCTGTTTTCTCGGCTCAGACAATACAACCATCTTCTAAAACGCCTAACCAGTTTGTGTCCCATACAGACCAACAGACGTCATTTGGTAGGGACCAAAGATTGAAGTGCTCCGAGCCTAGGAAACGTCATCCCGGATGTGATTCAACCGAGTGGTAAGCCTTCATCACCATCCGTCCGTTCTGGACCTAAATATATTCACTCAACACTATTGTTTGAAGCAAAACTCCATCTCGGCACAAGTCTACACACGGCCAGATAAACCTTTATGGGTAGCCCCCGTAAACTATTCAGTTCAACAGGAAAGCCTTGCTGAAATGTCCTATCCAATACAACTTTAGCCATATATTGCTTTTGGCTCGGACTTCGAACACGAAAGCTTTCACTCTAATCCGGTTCCACTTCTAGCACATACTGCTATATAACCACTCTGAGGTGAACTCCTGGAACTCTGTCAATGAGAATTTAGTTCATCCTGTGACCTATTTGCACATCTCTCTGAGGAGCGGGTTAGTTGAATATCCGGAACTAAACCATCTGTAAGGAATATTCATTGTCCTCGAGAGATGACACTACCGCCAGATGGATAAAGTTTTCCTTCTGAGAGGCTCGCTGTTCTACCTAGTAACCGTCTGGTAACATCGTTCATCTTACAGGTCATGCCTTGAAAAACACTATTACCTGGTTCTTTTGAGTTATTCTTGTGCTTCGGATATCCCCAAGGTCTGTCTGCATTTCACAGATTTTGAAACATTCTGTTCAAACATTTTCTTCAAAATGAACAATTTTGCTCATACAACATAATTGTCGATTGTCTATCTATTAACCGGAGAAAACCGTCTTTACGTTTTTTTTAAACTTACTTTAATCGGTTTGGTGCACCTAACGAACCTCCACTAAAACCTTGCGTTCTCTGTCAAAACCAAAAAGAGGAAATTCTTACCAGCCATTCGTACCTTATGATAGTTTCTCTACTTGAGTTTCTAACCTCCCGTTCTGGTAGAACTCTCGGATGCTGTTCTGAAGTCTGGGATTGCAGTGTTTGGGGGTTACCGGCAGCTAACAGTTTAAAATGATGGATTATATCGAGAAACAAACTTGAATTCCACGGACCCCTTGCCAACAACACTCATGATGCTGATTGGTTACCTCCATGATTCGTCGCCAGTTCCTAAAATCTCGTGATCAGACGCGCATTATTAGGAATGAGGGTATCTTTAAAACGCAGTGAGATCCTTCCTCTGCCTTTGCTGTTTCTCCATGTTTTAGGAATGATTCAAATTCAACCTTAGGCTCATCTAACCTTTCCGCTTTCATGTACCATCAACTCAACTATGTAGTACAACTGAAACCCACTATATATGGTGCTTTATTATAGTAAATTTATGGGCGTGTATCCGCAAATCTTGGTTTGACCTGTCTTCCTTGTGATGCACCCACAACAAAATTTGGCACCTGACAGACTGATTTTGGAACACCACACAAGGTGAGGATACGCAAAGCTCTTCTTCATTGCTGACTGGAACTTTGGGATCGCGCAGCTCCTACGATTAAAAAAACTACGCATGAGGCAATGCATACTTGGGAGCATACTTGGGTAGGCGGGTCAACGAGCTACTGAACGCGCCTACATGCTGGATCTTTCAGATCGGACACCCAGTTTGATGATAGAGACTCATCAGTGACTGTGTTACGTTGATGTTGCCGGACATATATGGATTCGTCGGTGAATAGTTGAAAACAGTTTTTGTCCCAAAATATACCAGTGATCCTGTGTGGTGGCGTGCACATCTCGCCACCGCTATCATACCAAAGGCTGCTCAACTAACATTAACAACTGGTGGTTGATCAGATGGCAGTTGATCTGTTCGCCGAGCTTGGCAACTGGCTTGCAAACGTTTCGGTTGATCAGTGGCAGTTGATCTGTTCGCCGAGCTTGGCAAACGGGCTTCAAACGTTTCGAAAATAAGCCGCTCCCATCGAAAGGCACAGGTTCGAACCCCTTACTTTTCGGGTTTGCACAGACCTCCAGTATCATTTGACACTTATTCCTTGGATTCATAACAATCTGGTAAGAAGTGGGGCCACCCTCATACACAGTGATTTTCTATGTATTTACTAAAGCGGAAAATATGTTGTTCAAAAGCACCACCCATGCAACCTTAGGAGTGTGGTGGCCTCGTCGGATGAAGGACAATATATCAAGGAAGGTCAGTAACTCTCCGATTCGGACTTTCAAACTAATGGAGGCACGTCAGTCGGGGTTGGATCGAGTAGATGACAAACAACCTAGGGAATAAACTTCAGCCGTTAGGCTGACATGATGTTAAACGGCTATGATTCGGACAGCTACGGTATAGCGCAATATCTGGTAGGATACTAATGGATGTGAGGAAGGTCAAATTCCCACAAAGCCTGAAGCCTACTGAGACTATCAAGCCCCACCAAAATGGCAGTGGGGAAGTCGACAAACACCTTACTAAGCCAGAAAAACCAGCTGCTTATTGGATGCTCAAGCAGTCAGTGAGCACCGACGATGATGAGTTTTCAGGCATTTTGTATAGTAAGTGCTCACCCCACGCCGATCGAACAGCCTAGATTGAAGGTCAAAAGTGCGATCTTTTATGCCGCGATTCCCCATGAACTCGATTGTTCGCAATAAAGCTGTTGGTCCTTTTGGCGATTCCCTTTCCTACACTAGAACACTGGAGCTGGAACAGCTGGTATTTAGATCAATGAGGGTCACATATGATTAAGGATAGGGTTGACACTCGGGATCTAGACGTACTCCGTCAAAACAGTTTGGAACTGGGAACCTTTCGGAAAACAAACCCTTAAAAGAGGGACTGCGTTGTCACATAACGAAGTCTTTGCCTTCTGAAAGACCAATTTTACCCACGCCGATGCAGTAACTTAGCAAAGTGCTCTTCTTACCAAACACCAATTGAACAACCCAGCAACAGTCTGTAAATGGTGCTTCAATTTGCCTGTGTGGGCGCAAACACACCCGCATTTTGGTTGAAGCTCCCTCTCCTATTGGGTCTTTAGGGTTCTTCATCCGGGCAGCATTTATTAGTCCTCATATTCAAAAAATCCGTAAAGTACTGTATGTCCCAGGTCAAATACAATCCCCGTTTGCAAACTAGGATAGAGTTACAGCGATCCATAAAATGAAGTCAAATGAATCTCTGTAGATGACAATTTATTGGATTTGATAAAATTCGTTATCGCGTATCGCTTTGAACCACCAGATCACCGATTCAGGGTGAAGTTACGTATCTCCGCACGTATGGACATCCGTGAAACAGAAGGGTGATTATAGTGTGTTGGTTTAATCGTAGAAACACGAAAGGGAGACAGGCAAATCCTCGATGCCTGTCTGAGAAATCGTGCGTTGTGGAACGCTTCTCCAATAAAAACATGTGGAGGTCGTGCGGCGTACCGATTGTGTCCATCTTATGGCTAGAGAAAGAGAGGCAGCAATATGTCTACCCGTTTCTTCTGTCTACTGATGCGCAAAATAAGGCGGAAACCTGTCAGTCGGAAACTCAAAAGAACGACGTTGATGGGTGGAAAAGCCTACCGCGAAAAGGCCCCCAACATTGTTCCTTGGACAGAACGCAAACATAACTCAAACATCAGCTTTCCAAAAGTACTTAAAAGAGAACATCTCTGTCTGTCGTTCGGTGAAATCAGCCAATTTATTTCTTTTTAACCCTAGATTAACTAGGAATCGAAGAAACCTATCGATTGCAACTAGATTTCCAGACGTTTACCTGGGAGGCCATCGAATATAGGGCATTTCTAAATTAAAGTTATTCCGGTTTTACCAGAATATATTTCCAAAATCAAGGGTCGTAATGAAGCTGAACAAATGCAAATTGATCTTCTCAACTTAGCCGGTAGGAGGCGTTCTCTCTAGACTTACTACCGTGCATGTTGCTGTGTCCTTGAGTCTTGACAATCAAACGGGTCGCATCAGTCATTGGGTCTGATTTCGGGGATATTTCGCCTTGTAGACTTGCAAGACTGTTATTGTTCCTAAAATGTAGGCTAATAATACGGTTTAGTGCTTTGATCCTGTACATTCAGTCGGACATCTTTTTAGTCCCGATATACAAAAAACACACATTTTCTCCTTGTTTGCTTAAGGACCAATCTCCTTTCAGCCGACAGCATTTACCACAAGTAAGAGACAGAGCGAACAGGTAGGACTACTATTGTAATGATGGATACTACTGATGAGGCATGCAAGTAGTGTCTTCTCGTGATTCTGCCTCGGGTCTCTTGAAAAGTGAGATCTTTTACGGAATTTGTATAGTCGCTCCGTAGCATTTGCTTTTATTTGAGTACCAGTCGGTGAATATCCAGGAAAGTTCAGGAAGCGCGTTCACGGAGAAGATGGGTTTTTAGTTTTTGTAAACAAGATGCATATGAGAGTTTTGCTCTCCTGTGCAACAATCTGTAACTGTTCAGTTGGTGTTCCTCTAATATACAAATCCGCAACGAAGACCTTCTTTCTTTCGTTTGATGCCGTCGCCAGGGTAAGGATGAGGATCCCGTGGCCACAACCCTTTGAAGATGGGGAGAGGAGGTTGTGGAAGCTGCCGGACTGGAGACCGACCGGGATAAGTTGGCTGCGCTGGAGACCCTCCTCAGAGACCAGGCGAAGGCGGCCTTTGATGTTGCCAGAAGAGGCTCTCCGAAGATGGACTGAGCCGCCGCGAAGGAAGTCCTTGCGGCGGAGTTTGACACGCCGGCCGACCGCCAGGAGGCTATAGGGCGATTCAAGACGGCCTGGATGGCACCCGGATCGGACCCGACCGTGTTCTTCGCCGGCCATTGGATCGCGCTTTGCCGGAACTGGACGGAGTGTCGCGCCACCAGTTGCTGTCCGACCGGTTTATCGAAAGTGTGCAGCCGGCGCTTAGTGCCCAGTTGCGGTTGGCACGAGCAACTAGCCAGTTGGGTGTGGAGGACCTGGTGCATCTGGCCCGGGAACCGGCCGAGGCACCACTGGCCACGTTGCAGCCGCAGAAGAAGAGGGATGGTTCACCATTGGAGGAACTGCAGACCAGACTGGACCAACTTGCGGAACAGCTCGCAGTCGTAAAGACGGAACCGCGGAGACACGCCGGAACCAGCCGTTGCTACAAGTGTTGCTGAACAAATGTGATTTGATCTTCTCAGATTTGCTGGTAGAAGGCATTCTCTCTAATCCTACTACTCTACGCGCCGCTCTGCCCTTAAACCCTGTCAAACAAATGTGTCGAATCAGTCGGCGGATTCTGATTTGTAAGTTTGCAAGACTGTTCTTGTTTCTAAAATAAAGGCTGCCAATACAGTTTATTGCTTCGATTCCGTACGTTCAGCCTGACACCGTACTACCCCCGATATAAGAAGAGCCCACATTTCAACCTTGTTTGCTTAAGGAACAACCTCCTTTCAGATGGCAGCATTTGTTACAGGACGACAGTTTATCTATACACAGGATTCCACCAGAGCAGAGGATCGCTACTGTCCCAGTGTATGTATATGCACTTGCCGACTGGAAGGTCCAGGGTTCAGACACAACTTATCCATCTCGACAAACCCTGCCTTGACTTGCGCAACCTGGCGGTATCTCCGCCCTCGTGCTTCCTTTAAGTCGCATGGCAGCACTATAGCTGAATGCACTACTCATAAGGTTGCTGAAAAACCGTCGACAGCTCACGACCAGTTTTGCCCTTAGTAGGGCTCATCAGGTAGACGCACTCCCCGAGTTTCCGTCAACCTTGTGTTCTACTTGAAACCAAATTGCACGAAATTAGCCTGAGAACATCATAAGCGAGAGATTCAGCTGGGTTCCAGGTGAGTCTCTCGAAAGAACCAAATTAGTTTGCAGATGAGTGTATACTCGCTATCTCGTCTTTTCTTCCGACGATAAACTCCCCTCAAGATTCCTCGTGACGGTTTGAGAATTTTCCATCAAAAAATCCTACACTAGATCGTTGAACTGACTGGTTGCGAATACAAACTGCAGAAGGGTAAATCATCCCAAGCTTTTGTCAATCGCCATAGGAAAAATAAGCCTTTCAAAAAATTTGATCTCAATATAGCCTCGCTGAAAATAGATGGTGATGCAAATCACAAGTTACCACGCCCAAAATCGTAGGCGATTCGCCACTAATAGCTTCAGGGACGAACGAGTGAAAGTAAAAGTTGAAGCCGAAAAATACCGTTCCACGGCTGGATGACCTCATAACGCTATATTAGGCATCTGACAAAAACTTTGAACAGTGCTCCCTCAATCGTACTCGGTATAACCATACACCTGCCTGTCCCGAAAAAGGAGACTGTATTGTCCTAACAGCTTCCAACAGAGCTCCTGTAAGGTGAGCATAATTTACAGCTCTGAATCTTCATACGGCGACCGGCTTGGATTGAACTGAGCAACCCTTGGCAGCACAAACGTTCCTAGTTAAGAAGCATTGTGCGAATAACGTTTTTCATAACCTGATGCACTACTCATAAGGTTGCTGAATACCCTTCGACACTCAACGGTCGGTTTTGTCCTTCTTGGGGCTTATCAGGTAGGCGCAGTCCACAAGTTTCCGTCAGCTTTATGTTCCACTTGATGCAGCACATTCAGTTGCCTGGAAACATCACAAACGAGAGATTCAGCTGGGTTCCAGGAGAGTCTCTCAAAACGCAGTTTGTTTGCAAATGAGTCTTAAGTAGGGCTCATCAGGTAGACGCACTCCCCGAGTTTCCGTCAACCTTGTGTTCTACTTGAAACCAAATTGCACGAAATTAGCCTGAGAACATCATAAACGAGAGATTCAGCTGGGTTCCAGGTGAGTCTCTCGAAAGAACCAAATTAGTTTGCAGATGAGTGTATACTCGCTATCTCGTCTTTTCTTCCGACGATAAACTCCCCTCAAGATTCCTCGTGACGGTTTGAGAATTTTCCATCAAAAAATCCTACACTAGATCGTTGAACTGACTGGTTGCGAATACAAACTGCAGAAGGGTAAATCATCCCAAGCTTTTGTCAATCGCCATAGGAAAAATAAGCCTTTCAAAAAATTTGATCTCAATATAGCCTCGCTGAAAATAGATGGTGATGCAAATCACAAGTTACCACGCCCAAAATCGTAGGCGATTCGCCACTAATAGCTTCAGGGACGAACGAGTGAAAGTAAAAGTTGAAGCCGAAAAATACCGTTCCACGGCTGGATGACCTCATAACGCTATATTAGGCATCTGACAAAAACTTTGAACAGTGCTCCCTCAATCGTACTCGGTATAACCATACACCTGCCTGTCCCGAAAAAGGAGACTGTATTGTCCTAACAGCTTCCAACAGAGCTCCTGTAAGGTGAGCATAATTTACAGCTCTGAATCTTCATACGGCGACCGGCTTGGATTGAACTGAGCAACCCTTGGCAGCACAAACGTTCCTAGTTAAGAAGCATTGTGCGAATAACGTTTTTCATAACCTGATGCACTACTCATAAGGTTGCTGAATACCCTTCGACACTCAACGGTCGGTTTTGTCCTTCTTGGGGCTTATCAGGTAGGCGCAGTCCACAAGTTTCCGTCAGCTTTATGTTCCACTTGATGCAGCACATTCAGTTGCCTGGAAACATCACAAACGAGAGATTCAGCTGGGTTCCAGGAGAGTCTCTCAAAACGCAGTTTGTTTGCAAATGAGTCTTATCTGTTTCCTTCAGAGGCTGGGAAGGCAAGCCGAGCCCATTATACTTTCACGTGTGTGATGAGTTTATATGGATAATCGGCCTACAGTAACTGGTCACTGATGTTGAGAAACCGGGGTCAGGAATTGGCATTAAAGACGTTTTAATCACGCAAATTTTATTTTTCATTATCCCAAATTCGCTACTTGGTCTAAGACCGAACGAACAGACTACTAATAAGCGCTTCTGTTGTAGACAAAATGCGTTGGTTATCCGAGCTGTTTGAACGTCATACTCTGAAGCGTCACAACGCTAAATCCATTAAACGCTTAAATTGAAGCGTTAGTCATGCAGAAATTTCCCCAAACCCAAACCAACCGCTTGCGACCGACTGAGAGGTCAAGTCAACAAAGTTACTACTGTCCCCAATATTTAGTAGTATACATTTTCTTACTGCTGTTCGGTAGAATAGATTGGACACCCGATTTAGCAACTCAGTCAAAAAATGAAGGAATACAATCTACCATGGCTAGCTGAAGAAAGTGGGGGGTGATGTCCGTTTCATTTGTGCAACCTCTAACAGACAAGGCGCACACTGTGATACCTAGTCAAAGTTTGGGTATTGTGAGCAAGACGCCTACTAATCAATCCAGATCGGTACAGCCCCACACAATCATAGTAGTTGAGACAGTTACCATACGATATCGCGACATGGTCTTTCGTCGACAAAACCGTTTCGTCGCGTGCCACAGTTGCCGTGGTCTAGTTCACCCCCTTCCACACACACTCTGTGCTGAACATAATCACGGCACTGTCTGCACTGACAAACTCAGGTCATCCTGCTGATGACCTGAATCATTTGTTTCTTGGCAGGTAGCCAACACTGTCTTTCACTCAGCTTCCTGTTTCACTTATACCACGCTCATTAAACTACGTTAAACACTGCTGTCTTAACCCTTTCGGCTGTATGAGTTGAGACAACCTTGCCGAAAACCAGTTCGTCAACCTACCTGTGTCCTTATTCTAAGCGCGAATTTTCGGAAGTCCACCATACCTTGGCTATCCTAAAATAGAAACTCATGAGCCCGATTGTCGCCTGGAAATTCGCCCAAAATATCGCAAGACAATTAAAATAGATTTCAGGCCTGAATATCTGGGTTAAACATAGGAACACCACTTCAATGTGTTGATATCACAGTGTTGTCCTCTGTTTTTGTTACATTCATTTTTCACTCTACGCTGAGCTTCCAACAAATTCCACAATCCTCTGTTTTTTACTGATTTTGTGACAACACCCGTCATAATGTAAATCACTCCATTTAGGCCCATTAGCGGTTACGTAATGGTGCGAAATACGAGTCCCGCGGGTCTCGCAATTATCTGCTGGATGTAGTAAAAATTGGAACTGGCCAATTGCCTATTGCACACAAAAACTCGCTTTTGTGATGTCAATATATCATTCTTGAAGGCATGAGTTTAGTAACTCTTGTGAGGACCAAGGAGCGCAAAGGAATTATTTTTTTTCTGCTACATTAACAAAACTATCGTTGACGCTGACTACTTACTTGTTCCCCTTGCCGGCGTATTCTGCTTTGTTTTATAGGTTAGGAAAGAAAGTGCTCAGGAATGGAGCTCGTCTGAAGCTTCCCGCATCCTTTAGTGTTGGTCACGATAAAGACCACAAAACCAAACAAAAATCAATCTCAAATGTTTCAACTTCCTTTGATCACTGAGTCATTCATACTGGAACTGTCCAGTTGATCTAATTTGCTTGAAGCCTTGTTTGCCAAACAAGACTTTACAGAAACGAGTCGGCTTTTGTATCACATACTAGTGGTGATTTCCGTCTAAAAATCGGTTTCACCAGGTCCCGCAACGTTTTTCTGTTCCCAACGAGGGTGTATTCATCCGTAAACGTTCAATTCTTTGCGGCCAGTGAATTGTTAAATGAGAAACAGTGAGGTATACCTCAGAAAATGCTGACAGATTGAAATATTTTAGAGTTCTGGGGCAAAGGACCGTGAAAGTAAGGAGCAATCCCATAAAGAGGTAGAAAGATTTGATCGGGATGAGGGTCGCACGGGAGTTGTCATGGCTATTCAAAATATTTGCAGGTAGAACTTTATTCCGTTCGTTGAGACTAATACGGTAGGTTCAGACAATCAGAAAAGAACGCTAAGTTGGATTACGCCAATGTGATTGAAGGATGAAGCGAGCAACAGCTGTAAAATAGTAGAAAAGGCTTTTTCCGGACACATGTTGGTGCATATCAGTTAACAAAATACAGGAACAGCTGTTGCAAGATTAGATGCGTCCATTAGTTCAAGTGTGTGACGTTTTCAGAAACTTCGTCGCGCGGTAAGTGTCGGTTCTCCAGGTAATCAATACCGGCAATCGAGTTCATTGTTTACATTCATGGTAGAAAAGTGCTTTGTACAAAATTCAGCTACGTGTTCTGATCTTTTATCTCAGTTCAAATGAGTTTGG